CATTGTCGTTTTATCTAAACTAAGAAAAATCCATTCTCGACCAAACTCATTCTTCACTTGTTCGAGCAAAATCGTCGATTAGGGTTTGCAGGTCCTCAATCTGAGAATCGAAGAAGCATTGGTCTCGCGCTCGACCATCAATCCACACTCTTTCCTTTGTGGAATTATTTTCCTTAGTTCCTTGCACCTAATAATCGTCTCAATCTGTAGAAAACTCTTCATAATAGAATTTCTATCCAATTTAAGAACTAATTCGACATTTTCGCCCTATTTCAACTTCTGGTTACCCTCGATGATTCTCTTCACCTATTATCATGTCAAGTTGACTCCTTTATATTATATACATTGTGATGTGGGTGAACCCACAAACCCACCCGCATCATCCACCATCCGCCCGACCCAACCCGAGACTAAATGTGGATGGGTGGTGGGTTAAAAATTATCAATCCGTTTAAGCGCGGGTGGGTACATTTTATGGCCAAAATCCACCCGACCCACCCAATGCCCACCCCTAATATAAATCGTTAAAAAGTATATTTGATATGGTCTGTACCAAACCACACCATTTACCGGCTCTAGTTTGAAGGAACTTAATCGCTAATCACCCTCCTTTTACTTGCCGTGCTTTGCTAGGTTACCTAACGTTCCATACCATACATTGTCGGATGTGTCATTAGTAGAAGAAGACCGTAGAACAAAGTGCTTTATTAGGTCCAAAAAGGTCAAATCTTTTCCTCCACAATAATAAAGAGATCACAAACTTCGGCTGCAGTTAATTTCGGTTCACGCGTTTTTGCCTGCGTCGCGAGCGAATATATATAATACCCAAATGTTGTTGTTGTTGGGCCGCAGGCCCACGATACCAAATACCGCGTTATTATTCCCCACTTCACACCTTTTCTTCTCCCTTCTGCCCCCAACGGACAAACAAACAACTCCTTTCTCCCCTCTTCTCTCTCTCCCTCTCTGTTTTCTGCTCTCTGCTTCCACTTTTCCCGGAGCGAGCCAAAATCCCAGCCGGAAAACATGATCGCCGCCGCTCTCTTGCTGCTACTCCTCTTCCTCGCCGGAATCTTCAACCTCAAAGCTCACTTCCCTTCCAAGAAGCTCCGCGCCTGGATCCAGTCCCTCTTCCTCCAGCTCAAATCCGTCCCCCTTCCTCCTCCACCACCGCCGCAGTCGATCAACGAGGAGAAGCCTAAGGCTGATCCGGTCATGAAGGATGCGAGATCGGAGGAAAACGCGGACGAGGAGATGACGAGCGTGTTCGCGACGTTCGACAAGAACGGCGACGGGTTCATCACGAAGCAGGAGCTGAAGGAGTCGCTGAAGAACATCCGGATCTTCGTGACGGAGACGGAGGTGGAGGAGATGGTGGTGAAGGTCGACTCCAACGGCGACGGGCTGATCGACTTCGAGGAGTTCAAGATCCTCTGCCGCAACATGGCGGCCGCCGGAGGAGGAGAGGCGGAAGCGAGGGCGTCAGATCTGGAGGCGGAGGAAATCAACGGCGGAGTTGGAGATGAATTGAGAGAGGCGTTCGAGGTATTCGACAGGGATAACGACGGGCTGATCACGGTGGAGGAGCTGGGGTCGGTGCTGTCGTCGCTGGGGTTGAAGGAAGGGAAGCGGATGGAGGCCTGCAAGGAGATGATTCGGAGAGTCGATGTGGACGGGGACGGGATGGTGAATTTCGATGAGTTCAAGACGATGATGAGGAACGGCGGCGGTAAGCTTCTTCCGGTGTTCTGATTCTGATCCGATTGAATTGATTAGCTTCTTTTGATTTGATTCGTTCTCTCGTCGTCGGCGGTGGCGGATTCTGGTTTTTTTCAATTTCTTCGTGGGGGAGACTAAAAAGTCTCGGAGAGCCGTTGTGAGGGGGGAAGAAATTGAAGGTCAAGAGGGAGGAGTTGGACTGTTGTGTGTTCTACAAGCTACAAAATTAGGGATGAGTAGAATTATTATATGTTTGTTTTTTGTTCATTTTATTTTTAGAAGTTTTTTCAATGGATGGATGGAGAAAGTAGGATTTGGTAGTGAAACTTAGGAAATGGAGTTTAGTGTTTTTGATGTTTTTGCCTCATTTCATCTTCCTTCTTCTTCCTCTTCATATTGTACAAATAACAAAACTTGATAACAAGGATGTCTTTGTTTACGCTGGCGATCTTGTCCAATTAGAGTATAACTGAAATTAATATTGAATCCGCTGGAAGATATAAGAAATTAAAAGCAAGCCAAATTGCATCCACTTCAAAATGATTTTGAAATCGATGTCTTCCTTTTCTATTGAACCAGTGTCATTGAATTCGGAAGCTCTTATATTTGAAATCAAATAAGAAGATTGCACCTCAACAAGTGAGGACGCTTAACTGGATCAACCCAATACATTCAATATTGGGTCGCTATGATCAATTGCGATAGTTAAGTGCAAACCCAATTCAGTGGTTCATCTATCTCACCCGAACAACAAGGCAGGAGGATCGTCGACCAAAAACTAACAATTCAGAAGACTCGGTAGCTCAGTAAAGTATGAACGCATAACACATTTTGTCCCAACACAATCCACCATGCGGGTCAAATTAAGGGCCTAATTCGGGGGGAAAAACTAAGAAAAGAATCATCAATATATCAATTTTAGTCCTCAATGTATGATTCTTTGTACCTCTTTTTGTCAAGGTCAGAGACTCAGAAAGATAGATTCCGAAGCATGCACAAGAATTACACTGGTAAAGTCCACAATGAAGTAGTGCCTAACGAATATCTTTAGTGACCGCAAAGAGGAGGTTTGCGTTGCGCCTACCCTAAGAGAAAAGTTCCCAAACTTCCAATCGAATTTGTCCCTTTGTAATCCTATTCCTGCCCATATTCTGAATGGGATAAGTTGGCTTACAAGTAAAGCATCAACGTTTTGTAATAAGTTTACGCGTTTGCAACTAACTTCGCTCACCCATAAGTCCACTCGTTAAGTAGTGGGGAGGGAGAATCTTTTTGGAATTAGATTAACCCTCCACTCCTAACACACATGTCGCTGCCCCTTTCCAAGGTCACCCCACTCTACAAGTATTTTAGTTTTATTATTGGGTTTGGATACAAGAAAAACGAGAAGCCGGAAATCTGAATGAGGAGGATTACAAAAATTAATTTTTAGCGATTTGTATCGAGGTAGACTTGGGGGATGAGTGTTCAAGCGTTACCAACTACTATGCCTATCAAATTTATTACAAATTTTTCGTGTATTCTTGTCTGCATGAAATTTGATAATAGGTGGCGAATCTTACATAGCGATGAACTACAAAGTCCACTAGATTAAGGATTGTTTGTTTGTTGGGTTTGAAAAACGGTGGATTGGAGATCAATTAAGACCACTACACATTTGGAAAAATTGCTCTTTGCTTGTTGGATTTTTTTGACAATTAGATGCATTTCATTCATAATCGATGTTGCTACAAGCTGAGCCTATTATAGAAGAAGTGAGATTAGATCAAGAATATGGATCCATTGAGCAGGAAGAGTTCCTCTCGCTGATTCTCTGGCCACCCAATTTGCGCTTTTGTTGTTGCTTATTGGAGTAAAGCAAACCTTGATTCCATCATTTGAGAAAAGGATATGTCGCATACAATGAAGCCAAACTCTGACATGCCATGGCCAGGTAGCCCCTTGTCGAAGGAGGGCATAAGTGAGACCTTGGCAGTCAGAGTAAACAATTGTAGATATTCCTGAAGAATCAACAATTTGGAGTGCAGTCAATAAGGCTTTAGCTTCCGCCACCATCGAAGTTGAACAAAAAAAAGTACCGGCCTTTCCACCAATCACTTGTCCATGGCCGTCACGAGCGACAACTCCATAAGCCGCCAATTGTGATTCCGAGGCAAAAGCTCCATCACATTTAATAATTGGAAGAAACCAGGCGGTGGATCAAGATTAAAACGGGATGGAGGGGACTAGGTAGGGACGATCCTTGGGGACGGGGGATACCTTTCCAATCGGTGAAATGGTTGACTACCTTCGCTGTAATAGTTTAGATTTATATGTATGGAACAATCACCTTGTTATCTTTAATATGAATTTGTATAGAGATATATGAATCACATCTCGTTGTGACTTTATCTCAAATCCTACCTCCACACTAGGATTTTCAAATCCATGGATTCCCGTATTTGGCACCACCATAATTTGCAAGGGAACATGGAGTCAATACTAACTCTTTTGATAAAATGTATTGGGTAACAAATCATCCACGAAACAAACGACTACGTATTTCCAAGAATGTGGATTTTCAAATTTAAAACATATGAATTCTTAAAAAATTCTTACATGAAGTCTATTGGATTGTGATTTGTGACACATAAGTCTATTGGATTGTGACACATATGGATGGGGAAGGCTACGATGGCAATTTGGACCTGTCCCACTAAGTATTACCCGACCTGATTTGTGATGGAGCAAGTATTACCCGACCCGCAGTAGTTTGGGATAGAGCATTAGTATCTACTTCCGACCCGTCCTGCCCTGCCGCACTATGGCCGATTCTGTGTCAATTTCTTACGGTATATATTCATATTTATCATATTTTAACTTTTCTTAAACTAGTTAGATTTTATCTCTCAACTAGATAGACTCAATTACTCATCCTATTATCACTATTTTCCATCGATAAATATTTTCTTTTCGATTTATCGTAAAAGATAAAATTTTACATAATATGTAAGAATAAATCAATCCACCCTGCCCATACTCCCACGAATGTTACCCGTATATTCCATACTTGGTGGAGGGCAGGGCAGCTTGGCAGGAAGAACATTGAGGTACCTGCCCCTCCCCGCCCCAAGTGCTGTAACAATCTAAAACCGAAAGAATCAATGCATGAGCACCAACAACTAGCTGTGGCCTGTGGAGCAGATAGGACACCCTAGCAACTAGCAAGCCAGGGGAGAAGTTGTATTCCCAGAGAGCTCTCACATGGACACTGGTCCAAGTGGTTAACAGTTAGGTAATCCGGTTCGAAGCACAGATCCGGGTATAGTCAACTTATAATGCAAACCTAAATCCTTAAGTAAAACAAACCGACGAGGGTTCATTCTGCTATTATTCAGATAAGAAATTAAACTGTCTGAAGTGTATAAGATTCACACGCTTGAACAACATTTTAAAACAAAGTACAGACAGGAATGAACTACACCCCAAGCACACATCCCAGACGCTTGATAAATGATATAGGCTATCCAAGTTCAATCTTGGCCAACCTTTTAGGAAAGAATCAAAGGAAGAACTGAAATCTATGCATGCCAAACACCAAAATATAAAACATACTCGCAGTGCATGAGGGGCGGATCGTCTATTTCGATAAATATCTGCTTCAGCAAGTTGTATGTATAATCAAATTAGAAGACATCGGGATGGAACCGCCCGGGGATCGAGCTGCTTTGCTGAGCCTGCTTGAGGTGCATCGTCAATGCATAGTTGTTCACCTGGCAGAGAATTACAACCCATGTGGAAAGGGGAATTAAAAAAAAAACAGTTTTGGATACTGTTGAACTAGAACTGGTTTGGAGTTAGCTTAAACAGAAGGGTTTCCACAAACCTCCAAGGTTCTCAATTGGTCCTGATATTGAGCCACCAGCTGCTTCAAATGCTGCATTTCCTGGTTCCTGTCCTCGAACTCCTTCTGCCGCTCATGTTGAATTGATACAGCTCGCTTGAGGATAGTGTTCTCGTGTATGAGTAACTGGACTTGTTCCTTCAGCTTTAGATTTTCCTAAGAAACCAAGTGCGAATCACGACTTATCAGAGAACTAAGAAAGGGATTTGAGCTATAATGGTTTGTTGTGAATATGGTAACTAGAGGACAGTACTACAAGAGAGAAAGTTGGAGGGATGAACTGCCAAAGCAACTAACCAGTTGAAAGTTTTTCACTGCTTCTGCACCTGCACGGGCATAGATTGATTTCTCAAGAGCTTCCAGAGCTCTTGATGCGCGTGCTTTGGCATCATCCATGTTGGTGGCACTAGTCATTTCTCTAACAAACAGCTCAACCCACTCTACACCATCCATTTGAATATGTGTTGGGACTGAAGGATCCTCAGCTGCTGGAACCTCTGAATTGGTTGGTCCAACGCCTGCAATGAAGTTGGTCAATAGAAAATCATCAGACTCGTAAATCAAGCATCACAAATGTCTATATAATGCATATGTAGCAATATGCATCTGTTAATGTATCATGCGTATGGTTTATATGTCTATATATGAACAAACACGCCTTATCTCGTGAAAGCCAGTGCCATATAATGGAATCCAACAAATATAATTTGATGAGAAAACAGTAGCTGCTGTGAACCAGAAGCAAAATATAAGCAAAACACAAGAAAAACAAATGCATTTTGCAACTGCTGAAGAGCACTAATAAAATCATCAAATATGAAGTTTAAGACAACAATGAAGCTTCTCCATAGAACACAGACCAAAACACGACAGTTTGCATCTTCAATTCCTTCACATACTAGGGAGAGTGACAAACACTTGCAAGTAAAGCAAATGAACTAGTTAGGAAAACCAAATAGAAAGAAACACCCCACGAGAGAAATGCATGAATTGGTTCAGATTCAACACATTCACATTACTACCAAATATGCATAAAACTGAAACAAAAGCAATCGCCTTTCATGACCTTATCCTCTAGCAAAGAGCTGTGCAGAACCACAGCAACGTGCACATGTAAACTATAGGTCAGAATCCAATTAAGCCAAAATGATATTTCCCGACCACTTACAAAAGTCCGAAAATAAGCATACCTTGGACATTGCCATTAGCATCAAGGAGTCCATCACCCTTCCCACCATCAGAATCCAAATTCTTATCAGCCGATCCTAATCGAAGCTCATTCAAGCTCCTTATGGCTGAATCCAAATCCTCCCCACATTCTGCAAGTGCTCTCTCAAGGAGCTACCAAAACATCGAAAAACACATCAGAAGTTTGATATCACCTACGCCCCAAAATTGAAACGCTACACATCCCAACAATCAACATTGAATCCAGCCACCCAATTACAGGAAAAAATGGAAAAAAGTTACCTCCTTGTCCATCTCAGGGAAAATAGCGGCGAGCTGTTCGACCAAATGCGCAGAAGAAGAGGCGCGCGGTGGGGTGGAGAAGCTGCTGGCTGGGCTGGGTCTCGGAGGTGAGAAACGAACGGGGGAAGACGAAGAACAACGGATTCTCTTGGTAACAGGCGGGCTTGTCACATTCAACTCTTCAAAGAAGGATCTCTTCCCGCACACTATGGCAGACATAGTTTCTGATCGAAACCTCTCTTCTTTCTTCTTCCTATCTCTCTCTCTCTCTCTCTCGCTCTTGGCCCCTTTTCCCCTTCTAGTCTAATCTTACCTCCAATCCCTTCGTCCCGATCATACAGCACCGACCAATCTAATCCCAACACCACCAAAAAATCCCTAATTTCTTCCCAACAAACAGAACAACGATTTCACGCAAATCACAAACTACCTATCTCGCGATGAACAATAATTTAACCGATTCGATCGAACGGGGAGGTCAAAAGGGGAGCCTCGGATTAGGGTTTTTGTTTCTGGGAATTGGGTGTTTGGCTGCCGTGAAAGGAAAAGGAAAAAGGTTGCATCTTTTCGTTTTCGTTTTCTTTCTATCTAAAACGTAAAAATCTATTCTTTTCTGGTCGTCTGTTTCTCTCTCTATTGAGCCAATCGCCCGGTGATTCGAATAAGTTTCGGAAAATCCACCGCCGAGGCGAAACGGTGCCGTGCCGTGGCAGGCGGCGATTGGTGCAAACTGCAAAGGCGCGGGTTTCCGGTACAGCTGTAAAGTACACGTAAGGAATATGACAAAAGTCGTCGAGACTCGAGCGGCAGCGGATTTTGTCTACAATTCTGGTGGGCCGGGCCGAATGGTTGATTTGCTAAACGAGCAATGGAGTGGGCTCGCTGGAGATAGTGATATGTGGGCTCTGTAGACCCTGGTTATTGTTGGGCCTCTGAGAGCCAGATAACTTTGCAAAGTTCTCCGTTGTACATCAACGAAAACCAAAGCTCTGATTTCTCAACGAAGACGATGATTCTTTGTGGAGTTTGCTCTTTTGGAGCTCTGATTCCTTCTCCTGAAACTGTTGCCTATTTATTGTTTAGTAGCAAGGAAGCAAAGATTGGTTCATATAGAAAAAAGGTAATGTCATTGGTGATTGGTTATATGGGGAATCTTATTATTATATATATGCTGACCATCAGCATGTGCTGACATCGTTGGATTGTTCTGTTTTGTAATATGTTTTGAGTTATTGGATTGGATCCACGGTTGCACGTTTGTGAACCATGATGCAGCATCAATCCAAAAATCGAGTATGTACGAAAATATCCAAAAATACCAATGTACGTTAATTGAAATTAAATTATAATTACCATAATGAATATCTAACCAGAAAGCTTTAATGATGTTTTTCTTCTGCCTTGGCTTTGCTTTGCTTTGCTTTCCCCCTTCATACATATACATAACTTGTGCAACCATACATAAAAATGACCTTTCATAGTACACTCAATCTTCCCACTACCTTATGAATATATAAAAAGGAACTCCCATTTAATTTCCACATATAAGAATTCGATTTTCTTACCCATCAATTTTGCTATCTATTTCTTCCACCACAAACTTTGCTCAAACCCCTCAAGCACCAGAAAACAGGGGCGAAGCCAGGAATTCAAGTCCGGGGGGGCCGAATTTTTTTTTTTCAAGCAAAAGAATACTATAAGAAAATATCATATATAATTTATTAGTTTAAATGTACACAACATCTTTGAAATTATCACATCACTCAAAATATCATATATGTGACATCTCGTTCAATTAAATAACAATAAAGAAAATAAAACATTTGTCTAAATTTAGTCCAAAGTGGAACTAAAGTGGAAAACTGAAATTATAGGTAGTGAAATGTGTACAAAAGGTAGAAAACATCAATAAAGGATAAAATTATTAAAACATAGTCGGCCATAGAACTCGAACTGCTGACTGCCTGAATGCAGATGACAGCTTCAACCACTAGACTATAACAAGATTTGTGTCTTACTCATACCACTACATTATATTATTCGTGTCCCTGAAATTCTCGGGGGGGCCATGGCGGCATGGCCCCCCCGGCCACTGCACTGGCTCCGCCCCTGCCAGAAAAAGGGTAAACAATTTCCAAACCCAATCTATGTTAATGGTGATCTCCAACTCTTCGAGAATATATCTCCATGGTGACGGCTCCCTTTCTTGTTCTTGTGCTGTTTACATCAAAGAAACCAAAGCTCTCATTTCTTAACAATACGATGTATATGTGGTCAACCCTACCAGGTAACAAAGAAGAGAACAAGGGGTAACGTAGCAATCCGTGCTTGATTATATAGAGAAACTCATTACTAATATATGCGGACAATCAATACGTGCTCACATTATTGGATTGTCATGTTTTGTAATATGTTACGAGTTATTGAACTGGATCCACAATCACATCTTTGTATATCACTTCATCGATCCAATATTTGTACACATAGAAAAGAATCCAACCATATCAACATTCACCACTAATCCAATTTAACTTATGATCATCATAACTCATAAGTGAGTGACTAAGAACTAAAATTCCCCAAGCTTTAAAGATATTTTGCAAGTGGGCCCTGCTTTGCTTTTTTCCCTCCATATGCATGGGCTGAGTGTGTTGTGGGGGCCCAAAGAAATGGCCCGCCATACGTACTGGGGAAGAATCGGTATCTCTCTTTTACTCTCCAAGTTGCAAAGCATGCACAGTGCTGAAAATAGAAAAAAGGGGAATTCTACAGAAATCCAGAAAGAAAACCACAAGAGATAAGAATAGGATCTTAATTACATTTTTATAATTATCATTATCTTTTTCACTTAAAAAGCTTCATAAAATTTCCATATTTTACTTTGATGGTTGTGGTGAGGTGACTTCTCACTAGTGCCTCTCATCCCCTAATGAAGGTAGGGTCAAACTTGTAACATAGGAGCTTACCACCAGACCCCCTAATACACACACCACAATCTTTAATATTCCATAGCTAATTCTTTGGCTTGATTTACTCTTACGTCTAAACTTCTCGTACTGATTTAATCATTTTACGTTAATCATAGCTATTTACAACATGATACCCATAATTAACACCCTCCCTCAAATTGATGTTGGGTACGCAACATCAATTTGCCTGATAGGTACCAATGTCGATTAGAAGACACTGCCTTTGTAAGAATATCTGCAGTATGGTCTTCTGTATTCAGATAGCTAATCTGTATTGTTCCTTCTGCAACCAACTGACGAATATAGTGCACATGCACCTCGATGTGCTTCGTACGATCATGCAGAACTGGATTAATCGCTATCTGGATTGCGCTTGTATTATCTTCATAAAGTTGCATAGGCATTTTGCATGCTACGCATAGCTCCAAAAACAAACGCTGCAACCAAACCATCTCGGAACTAACTTCAGACATAGATCTGTACTCTGCTTCTGTCGATGATTTAGATACTCAGTCCTGTTTCCTGCACCGCCAGGAAACGAAAGCTCTGCCAAAACGTATACACCAGCCCGATGTAGACCTTCGAGTATCTAGACAACCTGCATAATCCGCATCCGCAAATGCTTCAATCACTGCCTCCCCTCCTGAGGGAAAGAATAGACCAACCTCCTTAGTATGTTGAAGATACCTAAGAAGACGGTGAACCACATCAAGATGTTGAGTTCGTGCCACCCCCACAAACTGACTCAGAACCTGGACTGAATAGGAAATATCAGGGCGAGTATGGGTCAAGTAGATAAGACTACCGACTACACTATGATAGAAAGATTGATCCTCTAGAAGTTCCCCACTAGATCAACTCAATTTCGGATTCTGCTCCATAGGACTTGTACACAGCTTGCAATATGCATATTGAGTCATCACCAATAAGTCAGAAATGTACTTCTTCTGACACACTAGAATGCCGGAAGAGGACTGCTGAACTTCTAATATGAGGAAATAAGATACAGAACCCAACTCTTTCAGGTTAAAAACGGTATGAAGATGGCTGATTAGCTCACGGATAGTGTCACTATCTTTTTGATGAAGGTGAAATTTTATTACCGGAAGGAAAGCAAAAGAAGAGTACAGGACCAGACCAAAGCACAGGCACAAGGAGTGCCCAAAAAACGAAAGAAGACCTGGACCAACGCTCGACCAGCCATAGGTACCCAGCGCCGGCTGTCGAAAAGAAACACACCCAGCACAAACACAAAAACAGAGCGGACCCGAACTGGAGCCAAAACGAGGCAAAAGCTACAGCCCGCCCGACGAGAAACAATGAAACTCAAAAATAAAGAAGGCAAAAAGCAGCCAAGAAGCACAACACTACTGGGTCAGGTGCAGTCGCCAGCGAAGCCAAGAAGCTGCAGCAGCGCGATCAATTTTTCCTTTCGCAACAATCTAGCTAGTAACATTCTTCAAGACTTTCCTGGCTATCTGACTAGGATCTTTGGAAGTGTTGTTAAAAATTCTTTGGTTGCGTTCCAGCCATATGAACCAAGAGACAGCATGAAGCGCGCAATAATAGAACCATCCGTCCAAACATTCAGGAACCTCTCTCTTCCAATCCTTGATGGTGGGAGCGATATTCCCACTAAACCTGAAAATAATATTGTTGCAGCATCTCATGATCAAGCTCCACACCTGTCGAGTGAAGCTACAAGAAGTGAAAAGGTGATCTGCAGATTCCGCGTCGCTGTAGCACAGTTCGCACCGATTGGCAAGACTCCAACCATGATTCTGCAGCCTGTCCATCGTTAGAATCTTTCCGTGAGCCACAGTCCAAATGAAAAAGCAAATCTTTGCCGGTATCATCTTCCTCCAAACCGATGCCGAGGGGAAATCAGGAACGCCCGGGCATTTAAGCTTGCTGAGAGTTCTGTACATAGAGTTCACCGAGTATCCTTCTTCTGAATTTGGGGACCACACCAGTCTGCAAGGGCTATTAGCACTACTGATAAAATCAATGGAACCAAGTAGAGAAAGTAAATTGATCCTCTCCTGTTCAGCCCCCCTACGAAGATCAAAAGAGATGTTTAAGTCAAAAGAAACGATGTCACCTGTGAGTTTCACGACGTCATTGATCCTAGCTTCCGAGTTGGAGACCGCTGCAGCTATCCGAGGAAAGCTCTCAGCAAGGGTGAGATTCGGCAGCCATCTATCAAACCAAAACGAGACATCAGCACCATTCCCGGGGTCAATGAAAGCGTGATTCCAAAACTGCTCAGATAGTGTCACTATCATCGCCTGTCACAATCATGTCATCAACATAAATTAACAGAACTGTAATGCCATATATGGTCTGTCGTGTGAGCAAGGATGGGTCAGTGTGACTCTGAGTGAAACCTGCCTGCAGAATGGTAGAATGAAATTTTTCAAACCATGCCCGTGGAGCTTGCTTCAATCCATATAATGATCGATTGAGCTTGCAGACCAGATCTTTACTACCCTTAGCATACCCAGGAGGACATTCCATGTAGACTACTTCCGTTAAATCCCCGTGCTGAAAGGCATTTTCACATCTAGTTGATGAAGAGACCATGACTTACTAGCTGCGACAGCAAGAACACTCCTAACTGTCTGCATTTTTGCCACCGGAGCGAATGTTTCATCATAG